ACGTGGGTACGTGCGTGCGTGTGTGCGACGGGCGATGCCAGCCGCTCCGTGGTTGACCCGGAGATCCGCAAGGTGACCGCCCGGCCTCGTTGCCGAGTGGCCCGGTGACCTTGATGCCGTCGCAACAAACAAAAAAGTGCAAAATCGGCGACCGCAAACGGCCAAAATTGTTCGCTTCTGTTGCACAGAGAGGCGGGGGGGAAATGTTGGCACCTCAGTTCTCTCTGTAATTGCATCGTTTTGAGATACCTTTAAAAAAGATATATATCGAGGGCAAAAAAAAAAAAATCTCACAGAAAATGCACACACACACGTGTTCATTTGGCTTGTGTCAACGGAACGATCTCGTGCGGCCACACACGAAGGAAGGTTTGGCCACTGTGCCTGATGCAGTTTAATTACGCGGTGTTAATGCCAGATGCCCCACAAAGAGCGAGTAACGCTCTGAAGTCTGTCACTTTGTGAAGAGGTGGTGCTACAACAAAGTGACTTGTCGGGTGGAAGGTAGTGATCTGTAACTCTTGTTGTCAGCAACTTTAAGAGTGTTTGAAAGGGTAACGACAAAAGTTGCTACTTAAAAAGCCCAAAACTGTTCCTCTTGAAAGTAAAACAAATACAAAACATTGTTGTTATTGTACATAAGACAAAGTTTGGAGATGATTTACTGCACTTTAGACTAAAAAGGTTTAAAAATAGTAATAATAAAAAAGAATTACCTTATATTAATTTATTACCATATTAGGAACACAAGATATATATACTGTGCGAGGAAAGTAACAGAAATTTGATTTAAAGTTGTGCACCGGCGATGGTGTTTGTTCCAACTCGGCAAATTCACAAGATTGGTGCTTAAACTAATAATATGCCTTCGCTTGAGGTTACCAAGCTTGGGGTAACGAAGCTTAAGGTGACTAAGCTTGAGGTGACTAAGCACATGCACACACCAGAAAGGGTCCCGGGCACTCTTCGTGTTTCACGTCTTAAGTTTGTGACGACGTCAGCGGACTATTAAATAACCACACGTAAGGAAGAGTGGGCAGTAGTCGAGTTAGTATTGCTACCAGGCCAAACAAACACACCTTTCCAGTGCATTTATCAATATGATTGTATGACTCTTTATTTATTTACTAAATGATTTTTTTTTATATTACGACGTTATTTTTTATATTTTATAAGGGGTGTGTTTCTGTCCGTTTGTGTGTGTGTGTGCGCGCGTGTACATTGTGCATTATACAGTATTGCTTAGTTTCAGGTAAGGCAGGTGCTTTTGAATACAGATTGTGCCACACCAAGCCATAGTCATTATACAGGTGCTATGAAATGTGCGGTGTGGGTTTTTTTTAGAGATTATATAATACAAGTACTCTTTGTAACTCATTCACCGGTCTAACACCATTACGTGCAAATCAATTTTCAAGTGGGCACACATGCACAATTGCGCACATACACAAACAAGCACACACACACGAGACAAAGAATGCTGGGCCAAGTACTGTTAGCGAACACTCATTAAAGCCAGCATGGCACAGGTGACAATGCTTGGGCCAGCATCATGCCTGACCATCTTTATCTTCCCAGAACTGATGTTGACTGCACCGTGTTCGGTTTGGGGGTTTCCAGACCGAGGTAACATGATGTCCAGATATCGAAACCAAGTTTCGAGGTTCATACATAATATTGGAGCGCACTGATTATTATGCCACAATTTTCCCAGCACAAAAAAAAAACCCTTGGTCAATTTGACGATTGGGCCACGTGCTTTTAGTAAGTTGCTTTTGAGGCGAGCACGGCACGCACTGGTAGTGGTGTTGCCAGTGTCGTGATGGACCCTCTTTGTCTCTCTATTACTGATGTTTACACGATGCAACTGGTACTCATTCAAGGCTGAATTATACCTATGGGAAGCCCATGACATGTTCAAATACCACTTTGCCACTGATATCATCCGTGGTTGGGAATCGTTAACAGGTCACGAGGTGTGTAGCGCAGTGCCACAACAACTGTGCCAACGCTCCCTGCGACGCACACGTGTACATATACACACGCACAAAGGACGTACGTGGAAACGCAAACGTAAACTGGCTTTAGCACTCCTAATGTCTGTTACTTTCACCCGATGTTCACATTCTTACCATTGGACATGCGGTTTGTTTGGCCTGTACACACGGTAGCCGAGTTCTTAAACAATCTTTTTTTTTGTTATTGAACAAAGGCAACGAGTAGCATTTTTACTTCGCATTCAAATGGCACTGCAAAGATGTTTTTGTACAATTTTCTTAATTTCCATTGAGTGCGTTTCACTCACTGTACCTGTGTCCGAAGGCTAATTTAAAACCTTTCCAGTGCTAAAGAAAAAAAACCGTAAACTTAAAAAAAAACTATAAAAATGAAATAAATCAATAACTCTTGCATTTTAGGCAAGACTTTAGTATTTTGTACTGTGGTATGTTCGTTATGGGCCTGTTTTATTCCTCATGCTAGTAATGTCCCAGTAGTTTATGCTATTTATTGCTTCGTCACAATGCAATGCTCTGAATTCACCTGGCATTGCATTCAATAAACCCTTAACAACACATAATACTCCTGGAACCGTGTCTTGACGGACAGGCGTGACACTGTCATATTAATAATGACGGTGATGATGATGATGTCGAATTTTTGAATAGCGCCTTTCATTTAACTCAGTCTTGGCAGCTGTAAAAAAAAATATATGCACAGCGCTTCTTGCAGGAGACAAATGCAGCGCAATGGCCGACTGATATTCAATCAATACAAATAAATACGACTTAAAATCTGACACGCAATCTCTACCGATGGATTTAAGTGATGACTTGAAACTTTTTTTTCGTTAAACCAGTGACTGCATCATCGACATTAATTTTAATCGGATGTTTCAATTGGATATCTTTCTTTCCAGAGTCTATTGGTGGATATACTTCAACATCGTTGCCTACTTTTATAATCTGTATCTCGGCAGTTTTAATGAAACAGCTTTAGCGAAATATTTTGTTATTGCAACAATGCCACGCGGCCTCTGGTCGGGACCGCGCTCAGCAAAACACCACCGAGGGTAATGATTGTTTATGATTTGTTCGTTCTTAACGCTCACTCGTCCAGACATGTTTCCTTGTCATGTTTACACTGATGAAGGCACTCTCTTAAAAGCATGTCCGAGTGCTCTGTGACGGAACACCACAAGTGGGGGGTTAATGGGGGGTGGGTTAGTGGGGGGTTAGTGATGGGGGGGGGGGCCCAGGGCTTCATTTCTCACTGAATATTGTCCGGCCCGATGGTCGACTGGGAGGTGGAACATGACTTCGCTGTAGCCACACTGAAGGTGTGTTATTGACCGTGGCGTGTCGAGGTGGAGGTGTGTGAGAATATTTTCTGGAGCTCAGCCACCTTGAACATCTCTCCAGCTGAAATTAAGCCCTGGTTTTTTGGGCTTTTGGAAGTCAGTATAACGGCCGACTCGATACTTTCAACAACAAAAATAACAGAAAAATCGTCGCTATCGGATGGGGAAAGAAATAACAACAGCCAAGTCCAACCTTAACGTTCATTGATTCCTTGCTGTAGAGCTGTTATGAGCTAGCGGAGGCTTGGCAGAGACCTTGTGTGTGTGTTGTGGGTCGCACGGCACGTGTCCGTAACATGCTTCACGGCTCCCTAAGAAGGTGAACTCTTGTCGGCTCGTTATCACTACTAGCATATTCATTCATTCTGTACTTACTGTTACGTATCGCGCAGCATTACGCTATGGTTCATTATTGTACTCGTGCAGTGCGAGTAGGTAAACCCTAACTGGTCCTGAAATAATAAAAAAATGTAAAAAAAAGTTGACAGCTTGGGGCGTGTCATTTGTGATCATCACAACACGGTCTGCGGTGCGGTTGTTTGTGTGTCCTTCGTGCCCTATGTGTCGATTTCAAGTAAATATAGCCGGTGTAGGCTCACCTGCAATGAATCACGTGTATAACTGTGCACTCTGCAACGTATACGAATCGAAGAAACTTTTTTTTGTATTACGTGTCACATCTGTAATAACTCCGGGATCGCCAGATGCGTTTTTTTGTATTCTAAGTGAAGGTTAACGGTGATGAGCGATTGGACCCCGACCCCCACGTCTACAGCTGTATATTACATTAGCTCCAATAATATATAACTGTAAAATTTATATCACTGGAATGTCAATAGACTTACAGGAACTCGGCAATGTCAATTGACTGTTGATTGAGTTATTGGCGGTAATGAAGATATGCACAATTCAGACTTTGATATTTAAAGTTGATTTCAAGGTATAAAATACTTAAAATAATTGGGTCTGGAATATCAACGCTGGCGCTCAATCCCATGGACAGGGGGAATTGAGGTGCGTGTTGTGATGTGGGAGGGTGTTTCTGATCGCTGTTTGCAAATACGTAACTACCCTTTCAGAAGAGCGCGTTGAAATAAAGTTCCGACGTTTCACACCCCCCACCCCCCACGGCGCTCAGCTGTTGTGGAGTTGGCCCACTTCTCCAGAGGACAGAACGCAACGCAGACTTCCTACTCACCGACCTGCCAACTCACACGGTTTACCCCGTGTTCTTGTACAGGGAAATTGGCTGTTCGGGCCCATACGGCATACAGCCGTTTCAATCCTGACAAAAACATGTTTTTATCTATTTGTTTGCGTTTCTCCCTTGTGATGGGACTTTGTAGGATGAACGTTGAGATTTATAAGGGCACGGGGGGACCAATAAGGTGTAAATTAGTCTGTAATAAGGTAGATACTGATAAGGCGTTGAGAGGTATGTACTCATCTCCTCCGAACTTTTTTTCTGTTGTCTATTTCGCTAAACTGTCCCGTCCCCCCCCTCGCAAGGATCCACGATCGGAGGAGAGGGACAGGGTGGACCGGCTCCACGAAGAAAAAGCAACACCAATATGCAACGTTAAGACGTTTATTATTTGCAACATTCAATATTGTTTTTCTGTGGGGTGATGCACAACGATAGTACTCTTTTTGGAAGCTTTAAAGTAAAATTTACGTTTGACTCAAGTGCTGCTGAATTCATGAGACTTGGATTACAGTGGTTAGAAATTATTTTCACTGTTGGAAAGTGGAACTTTTTAAACAATCCATGACAACACTGAACGACATCAACTTGGAAAGCAGTCAAGAGGCCTTCGCGAAAGTAATTAGCCATTGTGTAAGAGTACAGCAAATGTGTTATCAATATTTGTCAGTGAGGGAACATTAAAAGAAAATGCTTCGGAAAATAGTAATAGCTATAACAACGGTAACACACTCCTTCAAACGGCCAAGCACATAACTATATATTTCTACCACTGAAACACTACCAAAGGCACTGATGGTGGTGGAAATGTGCTTCGTGTGCTCCTGCCATAATACCACTGCCAACATTGCCCCTTAAATGTAAGATGTGTCATTTGGAAAGCTTCTATTATTCACCCGCATAGCATGCACTTGGGGTGCGTCTTATAATCGGGTTGGTGCGCCAGATTTGTTTAACTTTATTGGCATCGGGCATAGGTTTTGGGTGTTTCTTTCCAGAGCATAACGATTCACACACACACACCCTCCCACACAATGCAAATAATTGTTACAATTCTGCGTTGCTAGTTCATTCAACAAAATCGTTTCTTAATTGGTGCTGGTTGTCTCGTTGATATTACTTTATATAGCCTCACAAACATTTATCGGCACATCATTTGCTTACCGTTACATACATTAGGGTTAGCCTTTGTAAGCCTGCAAAATAATTTGACCTGGTTAAAAAGTGCGGAGTCTGTATTCAAACCAATGGCTAAATGAAAGCACATACAAAAACACGGCATAGCCACATAAAGCTCACATGAAGAGATCATGATTTAAATCTGACTCTATCGTAAACACCAAAAACTCAATGCCAGTCGATCACATCTCTCGAGTTTAGACAATTTAGCAGCACCCCCCACCCCATGAACTCTCCGTTAAGCCTCTTCTTAAACCCGGTCACTGCCCGCAGCTGGCACGGTTTCGTTGGTCAGATCGACTGCAAGCGGTGGCTCCTTGATCTGGCTCGGGTGGCTGCAGTAGTCGGGTCTCAAGCTGCGCTCGGTGCAGTCGGTGGTGTCGGTCTGGCACTGGCTGCACTGGCAGCTGAGCGCCACCGGATAGTAGAGGGTCGGGTCAACTCCGGGGTCACAGCCGTGCAGGGTCACGGTCTCGTAGCCCACGTCCGTGTACGTGCACACCTCCTGGGCAATCTTCTTCATATTGTGCCCGATCAGTTGCTGTGGAAAGAAGCGATCGGGGCAAGCTTTTTGAGAGGTGAACGTTTGAATCGATCAACATGTGCAGCAGGTCAATAATATACTAACGGTGCGGTGCATCATTCAAAAATGCGAAGACAAGTAGTGGACTTGGGCAGGACACGTCGCGCCTATAACTGATCATAACCCATGGTCAAATAATAATAACGGAGTGGTAGGCAAGTACAGGAATACGTAATTAAGTAAACCGATTTCCGTATACAAACATTATCTTCATTGTTGCGTTAAACAGTGTCCTATAATTTCGTTTTAAAGCTTTCGTGACTGCAGGGATTCATCTTCTTGGTTCTTCGGTAAAGACACGTAGAAGGGAAGTAATAAAATAAAATAAAACATAATAAAATAATTCTCACGACGTTTCGGCCACAACGCAAGCAGCCGTCTTCAGGTGGAGAACAGGTCTGTTTATAGTCGCTTGGAGCGTGCCATTCAGACTCTGTCTACTTGACAGACCGGTTCCCCACCTGAAGACGGCTGCTTGCGTTGTGGCCGAAACGTCGTGAGAATTATTTTATTATGTTTTTTTTTATTATTTTATTACTTCCCTTCTACGTGACTTTACCGAAAGAACCAAGAAGAAGTGTCCTATAATGTATATGGAATGCTCTTACCAATAAAATCTGGCAATCCAACAGAATGTGTTTAACAAGCCTGATTGCTGAAGAAACCGGTGAATAATTTGACTTCCTAAACAAATGCTGTTAGGTTATTTTGGTCTTGAGAGACAATAGACTGGCAGATGAAAAATAATTGAACGTATTGGCGGTACACCGATGCAGCATAACACACCGGTTCAGTCTTCAATTGACTGTGTTGCCAAATTAAACGCGATTTGAACATGTATTCAGCCTACTGAGACTTGTTTAAAAAAAAGGTCAATATTGACAGTTGATCTTCTTGGTTCTTTCGGTAAAGTCACGTAGAAGGGAAGTAATAAAATAATAAAATAAAACATAATAAAACAATTCTCACGACGTTTCGGCCACAACGCATGCAGCCGTCCTCAGGTGAAAACCAGGTCCGTCGAGGCGACAGACCTGGTTTTCACCTTGCGTTGTGGCCGAAACGTCGTGAGAATTGTTGTATTGTTTTATTTTTATTATTTTATTGCCTTCTACGTGACTTTACCGAAAGAACCAAGAAGATGAATCCCTGCAGTCACGAAAGCTTTAAATCGAAATTGACAGTTGATTTGGGTCCATAGAATCGAGGAACCGTGCGGCCAAGTCTAAGGCACGAGGAGTCAAATCTGCCTTTGGAACACTGAGCAGCCAATCGTCACCAGGCTCTACGGCAACAGACTGTGAAGCTTCGTGTTCAGACGCTCGCAGCGTTCGTCTTGCGACTGCTTGGACGTCACGAGAACTGATTTTGACAGCACCACTCCGCAAGATTAACAATGATTGCGAAATGTTTGCTTTGTTTTGTTATACCGCGCACCGATGTACCGCCAATACGTTCTATTCGTATTTATATCTGGAGCTGAGTGAGCTCTGCTTATACAAACTGATTAGATTGGTGATTGTATTTAACGTTGGGATTATGAAGCACTATGCACGGTCATATAAGACAGTGAAAGCTCATGTAAGATGTGCTTAAAAAAAAGAAGGAATTGGAAATTAATGAAAATTATGGAAATATTTATTACGAAATGAAAAATTACTTAAAATTTGTGCATCCCGTGTATGCATGGTGAGCTTCTTTCGCACCGTATGTAGTCAACCGTGCTATTCGGAGGTGCAGGGAAGGACAACAAACTAACATGCCAGTTAACGATAAGTCATCCATTAATGTACCGCTCCTCAAAACATCTTCCCTTGCTAACTCTCCTGCCAACTGCTGCCCTATTTCCCTTCTCCCCTATTTCTCTTTCTCTACCCACAATTCCAATCTGGTTTTTTTATTATGATAAAAATATTTTAATATTTTAATTATAAAAAATATATGTTATTATTTTATTATATCCCTTCTACGTGACTTTACTCATTCAACCGCAAAGGCTCTTCTTTCGGTTCAGAATCACCTTGCTAACTCTGCTCATGCTGGTCTCTCTCTCTCTTCTATTCTTATACTCCTAGATCTGTCCTCAGCTTTTTGACACGGTTGACAATCCGACTCTTTTCTCTCTCGGTATCTCCGGCACACCACTTTCCTGGCTACAGTCCTAGCTCTCTCTGCGCACCTCTGCGATCTCATTCAATCATTGCCACTTCCCCCCCCCCAAGCCCCCTTCACTGTTGGCGTTCCCCAAGGATCTATTCTTGATCCCCTACTTTTCTTTCTATATTTCACCACTTGCATTTCTCATTTCTTCGCTGCACTTCCCCCATCATTTCTTCGCAGATGACATCCACATTTTCTTCTCCTATCCTCCCTTTGCTCCCCTGCCTTCGCCGACCGCATCTCACCTTGCCTGGTTTATATACAGACCTTGGACATGATGCCACTTTATGTCCATCAACACCTTCCAAAACTCAAATTATATTTTCCCCTGACTCCATGTCCCACCATTGCTTTCCCTCCCTTTTCTACTTCCTCGGCCCGCAACCGTGGCGTTATCTTTGACTCTCCCCTTTGTACATAACTCCATATACAAAGGCGTCGTTAAGTATTCAGTAATTCAAACCAACCTCACTGCTTGCTTCAACAACCGGCATATTCTCCGGATTGTAAGGCGCACCATTCACACCATTTCGGCTGCATCTTATGATCCGCTAGCGCTATGCGTACGTGTATGTGCTAACAGAAGTGTACCGATTTTGATTTAAAGCTTTCGTGACTGCAGGGATTCATATTCTTGGCTCTTTCGGTAAAGTCACGTAGAAGGGAAATAATAAAATAAAGTAAATATATTTTTTATAAAAAATATTTTTATTATAATAAAAAAAAATTCAAATTTTATTACAGGGCTGCATCTTTTATTATTTTCTTATTTCCCTTCTACGTGACTTTACCGAAAGAACCAAGAATATAGAAGTGTACAGCTCTACTCATACCGGGGAGCGCGAACGTTTAAGCACGCTTCTTACTTTCCGCAGCAGCTTATAATCCGGAAAATACGACAAAAAATGCATCGGTAAGTCCACCAGAGGACACGATCTGTGCCGTAATTGAACGCGTAACTTTAGCCATTCAACTTCCTCGAGCTGAAGAAGAGAGAATCCACGGGGGGCCCTTACCCAGGTGTAGCAGTAGCCACTGCAGACGGTGGTGTTGATGTAAAGACACTCGGCGCAGCCGCTCTTCTCCAACGCTATGGTGGTGTTGTGCAGCTTGCACAACGAGTTGGAGGAAACTACCTCGAGCCACAGAGCCAGTTGGAACAGCTGAAGGGGACCCATCCTGAAACGACATGCCGGTTTTCAAAGTGATGGCAGAGGTTTGTTTTTTGTGTGCGGATCGCGATGATTTTTGTGCGAGAGAAAGACAATGATGATTGCGCAAGACGTGGGTGGTGTGGTCAGAACCGTGCCCCGGCCGCCTTTGTCTCTCCACAGTGCCGATGTTTACACACCGCACTAGAATACTCATTTAATGCTGAGTCGATCTAGGAAGGAGCCTCAGCATCGGTGTAGAGAATACACACACACACAATGATCTGTGTGCAGTTGGAGTGATATCTCCGTTTATTTCAGCGCAGGTAAAGGTGTAGCCCTGCAATTGCTTGCTTACGGTACTGCTGGGAAGATGCACTTCTATTAGACGTAGCTTTATAACCGAGGATATTAGGACTATTCCACGCTGGCCAGATGCCTTGAAATAGCCGATAGTACCAATGACCAAAATAATTGCTCAAATGAAATATTCTGTCTTCAGTCATTCAAAAAGTCTAGAAATGTTATGGAGAAAAACATGTTAGGTACGTAATGCATGCTGTTATGTAACATATATCTCAGAGTAATGTGTGTGGATGTATGTATGTATGAATACTCACTTATCGAGTACGCTTGGAAACATGCTTACGGCGGCACTGTTACGTTACCTTTTGTTTTGGAGTGGGTGCAGAGTTGCTGTTGATCTGTGAATGAATGAATGAATGGGCTGAGTGCAAAGAGACTGAACGCAGGGCGAACGTGGGTCTTATATACATGGAGCCGCCGATCATGGTTGGGTTTAGGCTGCTATTATAAATATGTGTGTTAATCACATCTTGGCACATTATCAGCTTCTGGCACGGCAAGGCTGTAATAAAAAAAACATATACTGAAATGGAAAATAAAAGGTGATCTTTTATGTGATTAAATATCGCCGAGCACAGAGTTTTCTTTCAGCCTGTGGTGCCAAAACTGAAGTGACGTGTTTAGAACAACAGAAAGCGACTCGGGGAAAGTAATGACTGATTATAATCTTACAACAACTAATTCACCTACCTTCTGGCACAGGTTTTGATGTTAACTTGTCGTGGGTTTTTTGGGCCTCAAATTGACTGTGCTTGACTGTTGTATTTGTTGAAATTTGATTAGCATTGCACAAGTCTGTGATCGATGCCTTTCTATGAATTTGTTAAGGACCGAAACCTCTGACATTCTATGATGTGCCCGTTACAATGAAGTCAATCTCGCTCCTGAATTGGCTGTTGATTTTCCTGCACGTCCACTTTGTACGTATGCATGTTGAACTTCTTTTGCACCGCACGTAGCCAATTGTGCGAATTGGATGTGCGAGGGAAGGACAACAAACTAAACACACGCACAAAAAGGTTCGTGAATAGGTCAGATGTTGCACATATCTCATCATCAAGTGCATAGGTCTCTTGTTTCCTCGCAGTCAAAATGAAAGCACAACACTTTGACAAAAACCACAGTTGCTGTGACTGTCTCACAGATGGACAAATGCGCTTTTACTCCATAAACATCGCGAATGAAGTAAATCTAAACCTTAATTTCACATTGCAAACTTTTCCTCGTCCATATTCCAGATTTGTTCCGGAATAATTGACTGAATCGTTTTATGTGCAGTACTTGACAACGTTGTGCATTATAGCGTTCATATATCGAAATAGTTATGCACATCAGGCGATGTTGAGTGAACTGCAGGCGAACATTGTTTTAAAGTAGCATTTATTGATACTAGAAGTACAGAAAAGCACAACAGCAATACAATACCGATTAAAAAATCGAATTACAGTAATTCCCCGATACACTTCTTCCCCTTTTTGCGTCGTTTCGCGAAAACATCGTCCCTTTATCAACCCGCACCTACGTCGCTGACAACATCGTTCATCCTTTCTCGTTATCCGTCGCCTTTCATGCTTCGCCTCCACCACCACCACCCACTACTTACCCCTGTCAATCGCTTTGATTCACATCGTTTCCGATATTCGTTGTCGCACCTTTCAGGAACGCAAAGCTGTGGGAAACTGATAACACGATTGACGTTTTGTGAAATTTGGTAGGGTTATCGTATCACGTGATAACGCAGGAACCCTCATATTAAATTGCAATACCTATAACAACAGATTTAGTGAGCTTTGCCTGATATTTTAAATGCAAAAGTGTTGGCTGTAAATTGATCGAACCAACAATTATCACTCCTGGATTTCTACCTACGGGACTTTACGGAAATAACCAAAGAGTATGGATTTATAGTGATATGTTTTTACCCTTTCAACTGGTACAAAAACTGGCACCTTTATACAAGGCATCATGTTTGCAATAACCACAATACAAGCAGTCAAAATGCAAACAAAAATAAACAACTCTGATAATGATATGCACTCTCCTTGAAGTTGATTGGTTCACACCCGAGACAGCGTTTCTTAGAGCCTATTTTCCATTGGTGTTGGACCAGATGACGCCAAAAGGCGTACAACTAAAAAACAGCGCACTATCAGAGTATTGAGAGCTCGGGGTAAGCATTTACACCATGAGACATCTCCTTTACCAGTGGCAAAATATAGTAATAGGTCCAACACCAATGGGGACTAGGCTCTAAGAAAAGCTGTCTCGGGTGTGGACCAATCAACTTCAAGGACAGTGCATATCATTATCATCATCAGAGTTGTTTCTTTTTGTTTGCATTTTGACTGCTTGTGTTGTGGTTATTGCAAACATGATGCCTTGTATAAAGGTATCAGTTTTTGTACCAGTTGAAAGGGTAAAAACGTATCACTATATTTTGTCACTGGTAAAGGAGGTCTCATAGAGTATGGATTTATATTGCCGTAAGATGGCGTTACGTCTCATTTCCGTGACTACAATAAACATATAGTGGAGCTTGTTTGAAAGTGTCCTCCAAATCATCAGGTGCTCTCATGCACTTCGGAAGGAGATGGTCGCCATTCATGTGCACCTTGATCTACGGATGAAATGCGCCTCGCAAATGTAACACGATTGCCATTGTAAATTATGAAACGTGTTGATGATTTGATGGAGCTGCTATTAATTTTCAAGTGGCACGTGTGTGCGTGAGCCGAAGCTCAAAGGACTGGGCAAATAAAGGCTGCAAAGTTGCGGTAAAGGTGAAATGTGAGCAAAGAAAAAGACATCTCTAACACGTTTTCAAAACAAAATCAGCGATTGTTGTTGGAGGGATGCAACTGAAAAAAAACCCAGAACAGTGCATACGAGTGCCAGTACCATAGAAATGGCTTTTTTATTTTAATATCTCAGCATGTCCAGACTTCCCCTCCCCCATCTCCGCGGGTTTCCATGCCCCACGAATATAATAAGGTCCATGTGTTGTATGCACCGTATGTGTTGGACTTCTTTTGCACCGTACGTAACCAACCGTGTATTTATACTTTATACTTTAGTAGTATAAATACATGTTAATTTTGATTCATGTTGTTTTGTATGACTTTATGTGAAGGAAAAGACACAAATTCGCCAGTTTTCTCATTGAAAATAGGTAAATTTCAAAATATCTCTGTCCTGGTCATAAAAGCAAAGTTTGTTGGGAATAATAGCCATGTTCTGTACTTTTGAGGCATAAGCACTGTAATCAGAGGTGTATGTCTGTCACTAATCGCAGGTAAAGTGCTCTGAGATGCCTCGGTATAAAAGCAACTCCTATACAGAAAACTAATAATTATGCATTAATACTATTAGACCAGTTCACACAATGCGATTGTACGATAAAATTATGATTTAAATATACACTCTAAGTACAATGTTTTACCTTTTTTATGCAATTGTATACAATTTTGATATACATTTATCGTCTAAATGCCACGGGACCTCAAGCCACCTCGCGTGAAGACCGGATTTTTTTTTCACGTGCAAATCATGCGCACATTATATAATCGCATAATCGCGTTACGTTTAGCTTCATTAAGCAAACCGACAAACACAAAATAAATGACGCAAACGAGATGGTAAACAACGGCGAGGATTCTCAGTCGAGAGGGGGACATCCGTGCTGTCATGATTAGACGTAACAGCATCGTCCGCTCGCTGTGGCGTCAAGGTGATTCCATACGAACAAAGCTAAATTTGAAAGTAGTTTTGCTTTTGGGGGGGGGTCACCCCATAGAAAAGCGTCGACATTGATCTTCGGGTTGACCATGTCCTCCCCATCAGGACCATGGGGCACCAATCCCGTTATCTCGCTGCTGTACTGCTTACTGGCCGAGCATTTACCTTAATCGCGAAGTCAATCTTTGCAGGTCTCCATCGCTTTATGCGGCTGTAGTAGATGCGTTTCCAAAAAAAAAAGTCGCACGAAGCGAAACGGCACGAGAGGCAGCTGCCTGGATTTCTCAATTGATTGCTCGCACCAATGCTGGTGGAAGACCCCTTCCACTCGAGGTAGCTTGCGAGCTCCTCTAGGTGTAGAGCAGTGTTCTTCATTTATAGAGCGAGGGAGGTGGGGCACTTTAGCCGATAAGACATCATCACCTGTCAACTCATACGGTTTTCCGTATTTTTGTACAGGGAAATTTAGTTTTCAGGTTCATACGGCACACAGCCGTATCAATCCGGGCAAAAAAAGTGTCTATTTGTTTGTGTTTCTCCCTTGTGATGGCACTTTGTAGGATGACCGTTGAGATGTATAATGACAATGGGTGACCAATAAGGTCTGAATTGGTCTGTAATAAGGTAGGCAGGAATGTGCTAAGGTAGGCACTGGTATGTCATCAGTGCGAGGGTCGCCACACCGCCTGCAAGGGGCGTCTTCACATGTTGTGTGTTCTAGATTTGAAGTTTTCGTGACCGCAAGGATCCATACTCTTTGGTTCTTTCGGTAAAGTCACGTAGGTGAAAATAAAAAAAAATCATAACATTTAAATAAATAAAATAACTCGATTAAATCACGACGTTTCGGGCACAACACAAGCGTCCGTCATCAGGTGGGAACAACCACAGCGAAAAAACAATCGCCGAAGTATGCCAAACAGATGGATTGTCACGGCATCTCTTGAGGAAGATTAGCGACTCGATTAGCTGTGACTTCTTGTCCCGTCGTCTGTTAAAAGCTCCAACAGACAAGTGGAATTCCTCCCCGTAGAGGCGGTTAATTCTAGATTTAAAGTTTCCGTGACTGCAAGGATCCACACTCTTTGGTTCTTTCGGTAAAGTCACGTAGGTGAAAATAGTCACAGCTAATCGAGTCGCTTAACCTTCCTCAAGAGATGCCGCGACAATCCATCTGTTTGGCATACTTGGGCGATAGTTTTTTCGCTGTGGTTGTCCCCACCTGATTAAGGACGCTTGTGTTGCGCACGAAACGTCGTGAATTAATCGAGTTATTTTAATTTTATTTTAAATTTCATGATAATTTTTATTTTCACCTACGTGACTTTACCGAAAGAACCAAAGAGTATGTTGTGTGTTGTCGGGGAGCCGCACTAAAGGCCACCAGCGGCCCTTGCAATGATCACGGGCCGACAGGTATTTGGCATCCCGTTCCGTGCTGAACCAGACGTGTTAGAATACATGGGATAACACAGTAGCGTATTGCTCACATTTATTGTATATCATTCAAAAGTCGATAACTTATGAAAACATATGCGAGAAAAGTTTTTTGTTTTGTATATTCATGATGCTGTAGATGTGTGCAAGCATGCTTAATCATTGAATACATTTGAATAAAGTTCACGATACTGTATTGTTACTTCATCTTCTGTTTGGGGTGTGTAGAGAGTTGTTTTGTGAATGGTCTGTG